TGTTGTATGTATCTTTTCTGTACGAATGCGACGCATAAATAAGTTTTATCACCAATCAAGGTAAGCGGCTCTCCGAGTCTCAAAAAGTGGCCCAAAAAACAAGTTCCCTACGCTCAGGTGTGTATGATTGTAACCCGAGCAAACTTTTACTTTTGCGAGCCGAGGTAAGTGAACTAGTTGCAAAGTGGGCGATTTGCATAAATTGCACACGAGACGACAATTCGCAGGTAGGCTGGTCGGCACAGTGGGTCAAATATCAAAATATAATAATAATATCTGCACATAGTAGGAAATTTTAAGAAAAAATGAGCTTTAAAATCAATTTGTTATCTAATAGTAATATTATGTTAAGTTGTGTTATGATTTATCAACAGATTTGCAAGTGTATACGTACAATACAACTTTTATTAGATTGAAAAGTATTAATTATAAATTAAATGAACTCATCAAATTGTTTATGAATTAATAATTGACTTGGTTTTTTGTGTTGCCTTTTGTTGACAATAAAAAAAATAATTAAAATCTTCTTCTTCTTTAAATTATTAATATTATTTGTCGGCTTCACTCACTTTCTTTTATGTTCAATAAGTTTCCCTATGAATTTGTCAATTTAAAGAGTATGCATTGAATGAAATTAATTATCTAATCCTGTTTATCAGAATCTCAAATTCATAATCACACTTAAATATAGAGTAACGTGCTGGATTAACCGGTTTCATTCAGAACTAGAGCTATAATTTTTAAAAAACCGTTGGCATATACTTAAAATACTGCATAATTTAATGCTTTTGGATTTGGTTAAATACCAATTGGTCACTTGAATGAAAGTCAATTCAATTTACCCAAGATAAACGTTAGTTTTAAATAAAAGTGGCCAATTTTTCGTAAGTTTTCTGCGATTTGAATCCACTGTTCGACAAGTTGACGCCCCAGCTAGCCAACTAGTCGTATACTTAATTCTCGAATTCGCTTCCTTGTTCTGGGTATCGCGACTTTATTCATTGGAATGTGTAAGATCGGGTGACGTCATTGCGGCAAGGTAATATGCCATCAGCTTCCAGGTGTGTGATAAGTGGTTGGTTTCGCTGCAGCTGTCGGTTGATCAGCAAAAGACATCGCAAATTTTGACAGGCCATTTGTGAAAAACTCAAGACACCGACATCGCCGAAACACACAATAATTGCATAATAATGAAGATGGCAAACTCTAGGCAATAAATACAAAAAAAAATGAAAAAATAACAGATCGCCGCTGATGAGTTTTCAAATGGAAATGGAAATTGAAAGTCAAAGGCAAACACTCGCACAGATTGGTTTCAATATATAAAGTGAAGACAAACTAAAAAGAAAGTCCGTTATTTGCTGCAGGCCTTCGATGCTCTCGGCTTGCCATAAATTAAACGCTACCCCGACGGATCGGAGTTGAAGATATAGCCACCGGAAAGGGGGATCCGCTGGTGGGAGAGGGGAAGGTGGGGGGAAGGGGCAAGGGTGGAGCGGAGTTATGCAACCCAGCAGCTCGTGTTATTGGTATCTTTTATGGTTATGCATTTCTTTTACAGTTTACAGGCTCATCTTCCACTTCGACTCCGGTTTATTGTCTTGGCCACCATTTCCTTCATTAACAATTCCGCTTCGTATAGTTTTTTTTTCCGAAAAGCAATTTCTCTTTTCCCCTAAATAACGATATTTTTCTATGTTTATTAGCCTACAATATTCTGCTGCTCAAGAACAACTTTAATTGGTTTAAAGTTTAGAAATACTATAACTATAAAAAAGCTACTATTATATTGGTTGTATTGTAGTTTTACAATGTTTATAAAGTAAGGCCAAGTAGCAAAATTTACATGGATTATACATGTTTGTTCAAATAAAAATAATCAATTCCACCAAATAATAATTACTAAACGCTTAAATTATTTAATAAAAAAATACAAATTTGGTACAAATAAAAAAACCCAATCACTCACCAATTCAAGACATAAAATTAAAACAGACGTCATCTATTTCTGTGAACTAAAGTTAAAGTTATTTTATAATTATTCGTTTTTATTCGTTTCATGGAATTTATAATTAAAACATACCCCTGCACTTCATTATAATAAAATATAGATGCGACTCTAAATTTAAGATACCAAAACATTTGAATTCTAAAAAAATGAAATTGTATACTCTGATTTGCATATGATAGGCCCAAACAGATGGCCATATAAAATAGCTTGAGTTTTCATTTCGTATGCAAAATAATTCGCGTTAATTGGTCGAAGGACTATGGAAAAGCCCATGGGCGTTGCTGATTTGGCTTAACTTGTGGCATTTGGCTCTTGTCTCTTTTCAAATCAAAAGTGTGTCACTCACTCTGTAAACTCGTATCGACGACCTTTCCAACGCCACAAAAAAAAAACAGCTGCGAAAAAAAGGTTAAAACGCTTACAAATTTAAATCAAATCAAAGGCAAGAAACAATCGCAGCGGCAACAACTACAAATCGACCAAAATCGAGGGCAACTAAATTATGTAAATCCGTAAAACCCATGGAAAAAAAAAAAAGATGATGATAAAATAAAACGATTTTCACTCTTCATCTGCTCATCGCTTTGGGGTGCCATCCCATCATATCATCAACATTTTCACTCTAATTGAAAAACCAGTTTTAACAGTTGATTAAACGGCAAGAAGAAGACGAGAAGTAATAATAATAATAATCAGTGTTTTTGTTTTTATTTTTATTTTTGTTGGCTTTCGGTGAGATGCGGTTGAGGGATTATATCACCAGCGCAGCGCTGAAATTAATTGTAACTAAGAAATTGCTGCAATCGGCATTTCGCACAGAAGAAGGTGAACAGCTTTTTGCAGCATCTTCGTGCCAATTGGCAACCTTCACCGCTGCCACTCCAGTTGTACTCCATTGGCCAATTGGCCCCAATGGCAATTAAAATATAATTGTGATCAGTTGCGATTCCGAGAATTTTCCACTGCACCCGCTGCAAAAAAACAATAAAACACTCATACGCCATGTTGGCCTTTCTGCATTCTCATTTGACTTATGTTCTCTTTTGCGACACGACAGAACTCGTTTTCAAGTTCAGGAAATAACTATACAATGTGCTGTATAGACAGTATACTGGAAATACTCGAATAAATTGCATTAACACGCCACCATTCGATTCCTTCTAGATCGGACACGAATAAAACTTAATTGACATTGCTCTGGGGTATATTCTATACTGGTTGTCCGTTGGTCAATCTGTCGCTCAAGTGATCTGTGGCTAAGTGAAGCAGTCTACAAATAAACATATGTAGACATATTAAAAAAATACTTCACGAGCCAGCAATGATACTCATGATCAATGGATCTTGGCAAATGTCGTGGGGAAGCTTCAAGTTATATACATGGCTTTGAAATGGATTTCATAAGTTCTTTAAAAAAGGAATTATTAAAAAAAGTATTTTTAAGTTGTATTTTTATAAGAAACTGTAAAATAATAAATTTCATTTTCAATAATTTTATAAATATTTTTTAAAAGATTTAAGATTTTTATGTATGGGTTTATGTATTTTGGTTTACACAAATTTAATAAAAAAGTAAACTTTTGTCTGTATTAAATAAAAAAATGCACTTTCATGGTATATCTTTTATAAATTCTTATAGCTTTGTATGCAATAACATTTAACATAAGGAAATTAAGTTCAAGTAATATCTTCCTTCTACTCAGGATTATGACTTTTTCAATGCATTATTTATTGAGCAAATATTGGTATTTTCTGTTGACCCTCCTTTTTCCGTTACAGGGTGCTTGAGGCTTGTGTATGCCCACCATTTATACAAAAGTGTCCCCAACAATTTCATATCCGCAAACATGCTCCGTTTTGTTGCTGTTTTTTTTTTTTTTGCTCACACTTACGGGTTTTGGTAGTCACTTTGGATGGCTTATTGAATAACAGGCAGCAGACAGTTGGTAGGTTGGCTGGCATGTGGCCCTTAAACCGCCTTGTTGTTGCTGCGCCTGCATCTCCTCCATCTGCTTTACATAACAGCCATTGGGGAGTGCAAAAAATAAAAATAAGAAAAATAAAGAAGGGGGCTAACAAAACAGTTAACAACGGCATCATTAATTTAAAAACTTATGATCTTCGGCAGGGAGTGCAGGCAAATTAAATCCCTCTGAGTCAGCGGCACTCGAAATAAGACTCTCTTTTGCTGGAACACTCGAGTCGTCGACGGAGGTTTAATAACCTTTTAGTGTCTTAGCCACGTTAACAAGAATTTTATGCGACAGCTGCGATTGGCATACAAATCGGGAAACTTCCAGACCGAACCGAACCCCTTTTTTATATGCATCAGGTGTCCTCATTGGTATTCCCATTGCGTTTGGGTGAAAATAACAATCAACTAGACAATAAACGTGCAGAAGAAAATAGTTTAGGAAGAGAAGAAACCAACAAAAAAAAGAAAAAAAAACAGTTACGAAATCGAGATTTTGTATAATAGTTTCGATAGAATATAAAGAGATAGAGAAGTCGCAGATGTTCAAAAACAAAACACTTGAAAATTCAGGGTCAGTGGCAAAAAAGATTGATGGGCCAGTCGGATTTGATTTATGTCTAAGCGGATTACTAACTAGCGGAGTAAACAAGCCCATGGGGTGCAGTTCGCTTGATCTGTCAAAAACAAACATAAAAAATCAAAATCAAATCCCCCGCACAATCGATCGTAAAAATACAGACGAATCCCGCTCCCACCTGCGCCTGTAAATGCTAATTAGCCTTTCTTCACACATCGAAGAAAAGACGGAGAGACGATGATACGCCTGCGTACCTTGGCATTTTGAAAGATACGATCCACACGACCCGAAGTGGTCGATTTACCCCTCGGCAAAAGCTCTTGCGCCGGCGCACCACCATCATGATGGTGGGTTGGGCCGGAAATCCACCACAGCGCCAAGACACCACGGCTTAATAAATAGAACTCGTTGCTGGTGGCCAACACCTAGTGTAAGCGTGGCTGTGTATTGGAAGAGTGCCTCCGTTCACTCCACTTCCATTCGATCCAAGCATTCCCACTCAGAGTCTGGGCTAAAGTTAGTAGATAGTTGTTATTCAAAGTACACCTATACCATCCTATATCAGTTCCGAATGTGATTTGTGTTGCTAACTTTTATTAAATTCCGCCCCCGCAGAAGAGCTCTGGAATCAATCATGGCGCGTTGGTGGCCAATTTTGAGCGTTGTGTGCCTCTGCCTTGCAGTTGGTGAGTACTTCAATTAGTTCCATTTAGTACTTGAAACTTAGTACTTAGAGTTAAGCAGTTGACCTTTGGCGGTGGAAACTTTGCCACTTTTCGCAAGGTTGCCAAAGAAAAATATAAATAAATAAAAACAAAACACTCGACTCCGCCTCGGTCGTTGGCCAAGGCAAATAAACTTGAAAACATTCGATAAAAAATCAAAAAAAAAATCAGAGTTGATCCAAGTCATTAGCGGCATGCAATCGATCAAACTTATCCTTCAGTCAAAGTGATGTAAGAGATGGCGGAAAAAGAGATAAATAAAACTGTGGCATGAGGACGAAACCGGAGTTGGCCATAAAACGAAATTAGCATAGGAAACGAACAAAAAAAACCAGCCGCCTGCCATCGGTTCCGTTTTAATACTTTTTATGTTTTATTTTTTTTGTTGGACTCGCCAACGTTGTTTATGCAATATCATTTTAATGTTAAACCGAAAACGGGTTTCCAATAACCAAAATCAACGGTTAGCCAATGCACAAACCCGTTTGGTCGGACACCTTACATGACAAACCGATATTATAAGATCCATTATGATCCGAGCCGATCCAATCCGATCCGATCCGACCCACCAGTTCCATCGGCATTCCCAAGTGGCCAGAAAAGCGGTACCCGCACGAATGTGGATCTGCGTCTATAAATGGGATCATCTACCGCTTTCATTTGCCCTTTCGTTTTCAACCGAACGAGACGAGACGAGATGGGATAAAAAAGACAAAATGGTTATGAACAAAAATGAGAGTTGTTTTGGTCGGCTAGAAGTTGTACTCGTATTTCCACACAAACGGCACACAAAACCGGTTGAAAGTCGTTTGTGTTGGGAGTAAGTTAACAGTTAACCCATGAGGTGCGGCCAATTATAGTGGTCCAGACCAGCGATTAACTCATAGAACAGCCGGAGATTAATGGCACCCATAAAGATATACAATTTCAGCAGAAATAAGAATGTTGGCCAAGACAAATTGAAATCAAATTCAAACTAAAGGCAATTATTGCAAATACTAGAGGTTTTCTCAAAGCTTGTAAATGTTTAACAATTAAAGTATCCATTGTTGTTTTCTTTTCTTACAACCCAAAACGCAAAATTGACAAAAGGCAAAACAAAAATTGTCCAATACCTTGTAAATAAACCATTCATATACATGTATATATGTGTCTAACCAATGTTCGTCAAAAATGCATCCTATATTTTTATGGCATGATAATATCAAACAAATTTTTATTCAACCAGATGCTATATATGTAAAAAATTCATTTGTGCCCAACGGAGATCTGGACCCATCACGAAGATACCAAAGAAAACGTGATTATAAAATTGATAAAGAATTCAATATACTGCTTTAATTTCTAAAAACCTTTACATTTTCGAGAAACTTATTACTGATTTCTAAGATTTTCAAAATAAAAGATTGAGTTGATTTTTAAAGACCGAGGACGCTACTCTATAACTTGGTTCAACTCAATCAAAACATACAAATTACAGATTTGGTTGGCTTTAATTCTATTCCAACACAAATTAAATGAAAACTATTAAATGATTTGGAAACATTTCAGCATGATAGAAATAAATCATCCGATTCATGTTAATTCTGGCTGAAAAAGTACAAGTACAATTTATTGCTAATATAAAACAAGAAGTATTTTTCATAGCCAATAAAATATATTTTGTTAAAATCATCTCTATAAATTTTCTTTTTTCTTTAACGCAGTTATATAACTTATTTAAAACGACACTCATTTTTAACTCCCAATTTTTTTTATAATTGTTATAGCACATGGCCAGGACAAACTGGAAGGAGTTGATGTTGAGGAGGTGTGCGCCGATCGTCCTGCGGATGAGTACTTCCGTTTGGAGACCGACGGCGATTGCCGCGAGGTGTACAGGTAAGCCGAAACTCTAGGCTAGCGAAGATTGTCCGATCGTCCGGTTGAGATGGCCAAAGCAAAGCACCGAAATACATCTCCTACAAAACGTATTTTTGAACCTTCTTGTATCGGTATCGAAAGGTGCGACAGTGCCGGCGAAGATGGCACATGGCGTTTGGCGCCGATTCGCTGCGCCGGCGGCCTGGCATTCGATGTATTGCGCCAACTTTGCGATTGGAAGTCGAATGTGAAGTCTTGCGATGTGCTCGAGAGTAAGTGACGCCACCCAGTTCAATCATCCGCATCCGCTGCGGATGAGCCTACGGCTCAAGATACTTCCCGAGAGCCTCGACCCCATGCCTACTATCCACCCCCCACTCTCCTCTATCGCTATATGTCTGTCTATCTGTATCTCACCCTCCCTGATGTGTGTGTGTGTGTCTCTCTCTCTTTGTGTGTGTCACTAAAACCGGGGAATACCCGAATCGATCGAGTCATTGCATATATAATATATAAAAAAATAAAACACCCAGAAAACCCAACCCCGAATCGGTGCCAAAGTTCTCTTAGCTAGCAACGCCCAAAACGAAATTAGAACATGAACTTTATTTTGTAGATGTACCAAGTCGGGTTTGAAAGAAATTCAGTGTCCTTCGGGTCTGGCCTTCGACGTGATCAAGCAGACCTGCGACTGGAAGGCCAAGGTGACCAATTGCGACGAGAAAGAGAGTAAGTGTGACGACCAACTAGCCCAGGCAAACCACTCAAAAAAATCTAAATTAAAATCAAATTCAAAACCAAACAAATACCAACACCTGTACATACAGTAGTTCAGCAATGTTAGACTTCCGGAACTTTGGTAGATCCAAAAAGAGAAACAAAATCCTAACCCACCAGCTCGAAACTAATACCACCTGTGCTAACTCCATCACACTCATGTAAATACTTCTCATTTCGAAATTTAGACATTTGTTGTCACTAACACCTTGGCTTTGAAGATCGGCCAATAAGCTCTTAGCTAATCAAGTGTAATTTCCACAGAGCCTCGCAAGGCCAAGCCCATCCTGAAGACGGATGAGCCCATCTGTCCCTCGGGAAAGCTGTCCTGCGGCGACGGCGAGTGCCTGGACAAGGAGCTCTTCTGCAACGGCAAGCCCGACTGCAAGGACGAGTCCGATGAGAATGCCTGCTGTAAGTATATCTCATCTTTGGTTCTTATTTTTGGGGTTTCTCTATAAAATTTGGTTAGAAATCCAAATCAAGGAGGAAGCATATGTGACATACCAGTTACAAAAAATATAGCATACATTCCTGCGTAAAGTTTATAGAAGCAAAGTAAACATTAGAGCTTTCATTAATATGCTTCGGCGTGCAAATTTAAATTGGTTTCTATTGTATATCTATGTTTTTCTAAAGGGACTTGGAATCAGTATTTATTTATATTATCGGCACCATTTTTATTTGCTTTTTGAGAGAATTTTAAGCATTTGTATGTGAACTTAAAGCTGCAAAAAAAAAATCGTTTTAAGAGACTTTTAATTTATGTAAGTCACAAATAAAACTCCATTTATTCTGTTCGATAAAGTGAAAAAAATCAGAAAAATAGGAAAACTAGATAGTTATCATAAACCAATAATAATTTTAAGGGAAGCAAACAACAAACCTTCCTTACAGCAAATTACCCTTTACTTATTTCCCATTTACAGCTGTCGACGAGGATCCCAACCGTGCCCCCGAGTGCGATCCCACGCAGTGCGCCCTGCCCGATTGCTTCTGCTCGGCGGATGGAACCCGTATTCCCGGCGGCATTGAGCCCCAGCAGGTGCCCCAGATGATCACGATCACCTTCAACGGCGCCGTCAATGTGGACAACATCGATCTGTACGAGGACATCTTCAATGGCCAGCGCCAGAATCCCAATGGCTGCTCGATCAAGGGCACCTTCTTTGTGTCCCACAAGTACACCAACTACTCGGCGGTGCAGGATCTGCATCGTCGTGGCCACGAGATCTCCGTGTTCTCGCTGACGCACAAGGATGACCCCAACTACTGGACCGGCGGCAGCTACGACGACTGGCTGGCCGAGATGGCCGGTTCCCGGTTGATTGTGGAGCGATTCGCCAATATCACCGACGGTTCGATCATCGGAATGAGGGCTCCCTACCTGCGCGTGGGTGGCAACAAGCAGTTCGAGATGATGGCCGACCAGTTCTTCGTGTATGATGCCTCGATCACCGCCTCCCTGGGACGTGTGCCCATCTGGCCGTATACCCTGTACTTCAGGATGCCGCACAAGTGCAATGGCAATGCGCACAACTGCCCGTCGCGAAGCCATCCCGTTTGGGAGATGGTGATGAACGAGCTGGATCGTCGTGATGACCCTACTTTCGACGAGTCCCTGCCCGGTTGCCACATGGTCGACTCGTGTTCCAACGTGGCCAGCGGAGATCAGTTCGCTCGCCTGCTGCGTCACAACTTCAACCGTCACTACAATAGCAACAGGGCTCCTCTGGGCCTGCACTTCCATGCCTCGTGGCTGAAGTCGAAGAAGGAGTACCGCGACGAGCTGATCAAGTTCATCGAGGAGATGCTGGGACGCAATGATGTGTTCTTCGTGACCAATCTGCAGGTGATCCAGTGGATGCAGAACCCCACCGAGCTGAATTCGCTGCGCGACTTCCAGGAGTGGAAGGAGAAGTGCGATGTGAAGGGCCAGCCCTACTGCTCCCTGCCCAATGCGTGTCCTCTGACCACCAGGGAGCTGCCTGGAGAGACCCTGCGTCTGTTCACCTGCATGGAGTGCCCCAACAACTACCCATGGATCCTCGATCCCACCGGCGATGGCTTCTCCGTCTAAGCCCCGATCGCCCAGCCTTCTATAATCTTCCCAAACAGGAGAACAACTCACAGTAGTTCCACCGAGAGTCTGATAAACTAAAAACAATGAAAGCCCTAACAAACTGTGTACATGCGGGAATATGTTGAACCATCTACAGAAATACTCAATTTGTTGCATCTTGCTTCTTGTGTGATCCTAAAACCCCAGTTTCTTTCCGCTATTATTTATGTAAATTCTATTTTTCGACTCCCACCAACTCTTGTCTGCCTTCCACTTTCTCTGTATCTATATCTTTCTATGTATCTTTTACCTATTTTCTGTATCTTTACCTACTTCTTTGTATCTGTATCTATCTTCCTGTTACTCTACCACTTCTGTTGATTTTAAAAGTGATTTGTTTTAATTTACTTCGCTGCATCTTTGACCAGCTCAAAGACAATTTTCACAAACAAACAAAAACCAAGCGCCAAAAATCGCAGCAGCAAGAATATCTTCGTAATTGTATAAGTATTTTTTATAAGAAACATATAAAAAATATAAAAAACTATAAAAATTAAATGTGGTTTTAATTCAGGGATTTCTTTTTTCAATTATAATGATGAATTGCTAATGAGGTAATGAGAATTAAATAAATACAAATATTTTGATTTGGTGGTACTACTTCATACATTTTATTATGGCGCATTTAATTTGCACTTGCTAATTACTTGAGGCTACATTCCCGTTAGTTAATTAGGTAATTAATTATTATAATTAGACGCCCACTTTACTTGCAAATGCAAATTTTATAATTGCATACTTTTCTTAATTTGCAAATATTACTATTAAGCAATGGTTTTAGTGTCCTACAATGCTTTCTTGATTTCACCTTCAAAATTCAACTGCAAATCAATAATAATTAGCTAAATTTGTATAATTCAATTTCATTTAAATTCAAGTTGTCAATTCTTGGTAAAGTGAAAATCGGAAAAGTCTTGTATGCACATTATGAAAACTGCCCATTTTGTATTTGCAAATAAATCGCACGTGTAAACGTTGCCTTTAGTTTTGGACGATATTGAACCAAGATCAGAGTCGATTAGAGCCACAGACGCACCTGCTGATCCCAACTGGTGGAGGACAGACACATGCCATTGGGGCACAGGCTGATGCAAGTGACGCGGTTCTCGTGACCAGACAGTGTGCCTGAAATGGAAAGAAAGAAGAAAAGTCAACAAATCGATATAAGTCAAGTGGCAGTCTGAGCATTAGTCTGCCCAGCCCCATTCCTCATCATGGAATCCGCCAAGTGCAGTACCCACTCCCACTTCCAAATACCAAATACCCAATCCCAAATACCCACCCGTGTGCCGCTGCTTTATTGTGTCCCACGAGTGCACGTTGCCCTCAATGCCGCCGCACATGAGGTAGCGCCCGCTGGTCGATAGAGCTAATGGGCACAAAGAAAATCAGATTAAAACCCCTCAAAAGTCAAGGCGACCAAGAAGGAGAACGAGAATGGTAACAAGAACTATAACCCACCGCACGAAGTGAAGCCCGTGTTCTTCTGGGGCGGCTCATACTGCCCGATTTGCTGGTCCGACCGCAGGTCGTACATGCGCGCCGTCTGATCCTCCGAACAGGAGGCGAACCCATTGCCACTGGGATGGTACTAAAATGGGAAAGAAATAAGAGATATATATTTTTTTTATATATATGAAAACATATTAAAGATATAAATTGGGTATTTTTTTAAAACAGCTTTTATATAGTAACATTATAAAGTATTATATAAGTTCATTAAGACGCATGTTATATTTAACATTTTATGTTAAATTTTAACAGCACACTTTTGGCATAAACTAATTATTGGAATATCACCATACTTTAATATTATTACAATCTGTCTTTAAACAAAGTTTCAATTCTTTTATTTATTGCTAAGCCAGTCTAGAATATTATCATTTCTTTAAGGGCAAATTTAATTAATTCACTTAGTAAAATTATCTAATTAACTTTAAAAATTGAAAAATAGATTACACAAAATTCAAAAAGTAAGAACGATTAAAATAAGTTTTTAAAGAAAATGTGTTTAAATAAAAGAATCCACACGTCTTTTACTTACTTCAAACTTTAAAAATTTGACTGTAAATATATTGAATTTCTTTTGTAAGAACTAAAATTATGCTAAACAGACTGGTAAAAAAATTTTAAATTATACGTTAAATGTAGCTACTTTTTTATGTTTCCTGCCTAAGACATGCTGAATCAACATTGTTTTTCAGACAATCTTTTTACTGCCTTCAGAACATAAAAAAAGTACTCACGCAGACGGAGGCCACATCCATGTCATGGCCAAAGAACATCTGCTTGTGACCCTGTTCACGTACGTCCCACAACTTGGCAGTTTTATCCACAGAGCCGGTGATATAAGTCTTCATATCGGGGGATAACGATAAGCCAGCGATATCTCCAGCATGTCCATTGAAATCCATTGTCTTGACGCCCTTCTCCAGATCCCAATGGCAGCTGTTGGCCAGTAAATAAGTTGCATTTTAAACATTTTAGTGATTTATATGTAATAATAACCCACATTTTCATATCGCCCGAGCCGGTGATCAAATGACCATCGTCCAGGAAACGACAGGAGCTGAGGAATCCCTCGTAGCCCATCAGCTCCTTGACCATCTTGGCCACTCCGGAGGCGTCTCGGTTGTTCACATCGTAGACGGTGCACTGGTTGTCCATTCCTCCGCAGGCCACAAAGTTGCCCGACGGCGAGAAGGCCACCGTCATCACCCATGCGGATCTCAAGGGGATGATCTGCACCTTGTTGGCGGTCCAGGTGTCCCAGATGATCAGTTTGCCATCCAGGGATCCCGTGACGCAGTGACGCGAGTCACCGGCAAAATGCACCGAATTCACCTTGTTGATGTGCCCCTTGAGGATCTTCTTCGAGGAGAAGCGAATCTTGGGCACATCGCCCATGTCGCCGCATTTGTCGGCCAGCGTGCAATCCGCTTTCGCTTTTTGGTCATCCTAACAATTAAAGATGGAAAATACGCATGAAAATCTGTTTGATTACTAAAGTATTCATCTAATATCCTTTCATAAAGGAAATGATCGGATTTTATGTTATGTTATGTTTCAAGGAATTTAAAACATTTATGTTTTTAAATTCTTTTTTTAATCTGTTACGTAATTTTCAACCCAATATTTTAGTTTTGTAATTTAATTTGAATTATTAAATATAGTTTTATTATATGTGTGTATTTAATTTAATTAAGACATTTAAAGGTAATAGTTTATTTGATTAATACTAATTTTTTTTTCTCTTTTTTTGTATGTGCTCATTTTATTTCGTTGCTTTTTTTTTGTGATGTTAGTATATTAATTTGGAAAAAGGCTTTCAAAATAGGTCAGGATTTAATTTGTTTATTTTTTTAGTTAGTGTTATTTAAGTGTTATTATTTTTTAGCATAAACTTTTGTAATTAGGTTAAGTTTTAATCCCTGTTTTTTTTTCTTATCTCATTTCTCATTTTCTCATCTTCTTAGCTTCAAAATTTTGTCAGTTAGTAGTGTGTATCCCAAGGATTTTGTCACCTTAAACTTCTGAATCATGCCATTGATTTCGTCGTAGAGTTTCTGTGTTTCGGCATCAATTTTTGGCATGATTGAGCATTAATTATAGCGAACGGCCGCAATATTTGCAAGAAGAATGCTTTTAGATTTAAACCGCACCGCGTCGCACAATAAACTGAGTGTTAAACAATTTTTTTCGCCTGCTCGTTATGATGTTTTCTTTTTTCCTCATCGGTAATGCAATTAACTAATTGGATTAGCAGTTAAATACAAATATATACAAAGGCAATTTTGGGCGCCAAAAATTAAAATAAAACGTATAAGCGGGCTGCCAACTTAGCAGAATAAATCACATGTTTTACAACACTGAAATGATTAGGGTTACCAGGTCGGCCACAATGAAGGGTTTTGTTTGAACGAGGAAATGCGTTTATATGGCCGAGACGAATCTGGTCCCTCTAATTACACAACTCTCCAGACTCAGCTGTTCGGTCACCTCATTTTTGTTTTCCCTGCTTTTATTTATAACAATTGCCCAAATAAACACATCGCCAGCATGGACGCCAAGTAGGGAACACCATGGAGACGCTGCCATGTGCCAACCAGCTGCAGGAGCACCAGCAGCCGCAGCAGCAGCTCGTGAATCTCAGCATAGACGCGAGTCTGGGCGAGAATGTGGTCAGCATTCCCAAGGAGCTGATCCTCATCTCGCTGGTCTCCCAGGAGCAGTCGCTCTACAATCCCAAGCACCCCAACTACCGGAGCACCAAGACCAAGGATGAGAAGTGGATGGAGATCGGCAGCAATGTGGGCTGGACAGGTAAGTGCATGTCCCAATTGTGATTGCCCCTTCCAAGATGATTCCCAATCCCTTTCCATAGATGTGCAGTGCAAGTCCAAGTGGAAGGCCATGAGGGATCAGTACTGCAGGGAGCTTAAACGCGCCAAAGCCTGCGCCAAAGCCGTCAAGTGGAAGTACTTCAAGGAACTGGACTTCCTGCGTCCATATGCGCTGGCAAGGAAGTAAGTGGGAATGCCAGTAAAGTGACCTAAAAACAAACCCCTATAACTCAAGAAATATATTCAGAAATTATTATCAAGGCTTTTCCGGTCATTCCTAACTAAATGAGATTATAATCTACACTACCTACTTGAGCTTTGAAACACTTTTATATTAATTAACTGTAGATAAAGGTGTATTTTCTAAAGTTTTCTAAATATTGTTATACTGCTACTAAAGTATGGAATCTGATCAAAAGAAATTAGGGCATGAACTAATATTATTCTACCTTTGTTGGTCTAAAAACCCATGTTTGTATATGGCTACTAATGTTTAATTTAAACCTATAACCCTTATATTGACACCTCCAACTAACCGCACTGTTTTCTCTAGTTACAGAGGAAGATCTGCACAGACCGCCAATGGCATAGTCACTACAGCAACACCAATATCGCTGCCCCTGAGCACCTCCTTCAGCAGCAACAGCAGTAGCCAGAACCTCAACCTCTCCGGCAGCATTAAGATTGAAGATGCCAGTGCCACTACGCTGCTGGACAACTGCAGCTTTAGCTCGGCCAATTCAGTTGACAAGAAGCCCGCAGCCACTTTCTTGGCCAGCCATATTGGGGCCGTGTTGCACCAGCAGGAACAGCAATTGCAGTCGCAGCCGGAGAGCAACTGGAACTATCTGACGGATGCGGGAGGCGGTGCTACCCCATCAATCATCGTGGAGTGTGGAACCGCCAACTCAACCACTGTAGTGGACACTCTCTACAACGAGTTGGTGGACTGTGTCAATGCCGCCAATCAGTCAAACTCAACAGCAACAGTTACTTCCACTGTATCCGCCACTTCGGCAGCGCACAATCAATCGACAAATGCCGAAGAGGAGGACGACGATCCCATACACACCTTCCTAAACATGGAGAGCTACTTTGAAAAGGAACTGATCACGCTGATCCAGCAGGAGGACATGATCTACAACTACAGCAACGAGAACTATCGCAATGCAAAGCTCAAGATGGAGGTGTGGGAGGAGATTGCCAGAAAGCTTAAGAAGTCAGGTAAGTTTAATAGACAGAATAGACAGATTGATTCAGATTATTTAACTATTAACTATTTTAGTGAAACAGTGTAGACTGAAGTGGAAGGCTTTAAGGGACCAATATGCACGTGAGCACAAGCGACTAAGAACACTCATGCACATAGACGCCACTTCGCGTTGGAAGCACTACGACTCGCTCAGTTTCCTGCAAAAGTACATACAACAAAAGACGCTGTAAGAGTTGGCATATACCGGCCAAACCGATCATAAATCTTAATCTAAAACCAGACTTAATAATGATTTATTTTTGCCTTTCAGGGATGCCGACTCACAACTTAGCATGCTGTTACCCAAAGGTGACTCGGTACGAGAACTGGAGGATCACATGGGCCACTCCCACTCGCCGCCAACGCAGCAAAACACCTTGGAGTCATCTTCATCGAGTTCCCAGCTCAACATGCCCGCTCTGCCTCATTTGACGGGACCACACAAGGCCGAGCAACAGCAGCAGCAGGAGGATCACCAACACCAGCAGCAGCAGCAACAGGCCAGTGCGTTGTGTGTGGCCTCCTACGATGACATGGACATCGAGAACTACATCAACGGAGATGCACATCATGACGATGAGGAAGAAGATGACGATGATGAGGAGATGGAAACCACAACGGCGGCGGAGCAAACTCCGCAACAACAAGATCAGCATGTTATGAGTTATGAGCACGATGAGGGACCCGTTTATATGGCTGTTCATAGCGTTGGTAGTTCCATGACCAAACAGGAGCAGCTCAGCGAGGGAGCCTCCAGCCTGGATCAGCATCAGCAGCTGCAATCAACTGGAGAATATCAAAAATTGGAGATACAGACGCCTACTACTCCTCGCTACCAGAATGCTGCCACTACCCCTAGCTCCACTTCCACCTCGCGCTATCACTCGGCACCCATTACGCCCAACAAGCCCAGCCATATGGAGTTTCCTCCCAGCAATGGCCACATTTCTGGAGACGATGATGAGGTTGGTGCGTTTTTCAAGGCAGTGGCCATGAAGATACGTAATGCTCGGTTGGAGCCGGTGGCTTTTACCGAACTGCAAATCGATATTCTGCGTGTCATTAACGAGGCACTGAGGAATCACTAGCACCTCCAGTGACCTCTGGCTTCCTAGAGAAGAAGGAGCTTGAGCGGACCATCAACGGTTTCAGGGCGATTTATTGTAGATTTTAAGTGTTATTTCAAAAGTGTTTTTTCTAATTTCTAGACGAGTTGATATTTTTGTAAATTTCTTTTAAATTTGTGCGAAATTTTAATGCGAAAATCAGTTGGTTAAGCAGCTCAAAGGCGAAACTTAAAATGTTACGTGTACATAGACCAAAATCCAACAAAAACGTAAGGAAATAGTGTTTATTAGCTTAGGATGATTCCGGTTTTGACGGAAACGGAACTAAAAATTTGAACTATTATTTAAATAATTGTAACCAAAATCGATTGTAACCAATTCGTACAATGTCAAAGCAAAAAAAAAATATATTTTTAAAGCAACCTTAAATATTGTAAATTACTTTGTGAAATGTAAGTATTATTATTTATAAGAGTTTTAAGTTATTCTTCCTTCTTTTTCCTATGATAATTGCCTGTATTTTTGGCAGTGTATTTTACAAAAGAGCCGCTGAAGAACCCTCCATCCAAATTCTACCTTATACAGCGCATAGAAATCAATGTATTTGGTAGTTATAACTGATAGTTGATGTAGCTTGCTTTCGGGTAAGGTGACCCCCTTCCCAAGACCCGTTCTCAACCAGGAATTCCCCCATTCACCCACATACAACCCCAATCCACACCCAGCATAGTCGATTCCCCCGCAGTTCAACACAAACATTTAGACAAACGACAAAGCGTAGGAGCAGCTGCCTTCGAGTGGAGCACTTGGAGCACAGTCGACTCAACCCCCGGATCCCAGCACTGTATATAGGAGTACGTAGCTCCCCCATGTACACGGACTATATAAATCTGTACACATAAGTAAGCTCTCTGCTCGTGCCACCGAAAATGGTCTCCCTTTTGGCATTGGGCAGAAACCGGTTCGCGTGACGCATCCAATGGGTGCAAGGTTCGAGTGAGACAACCGTAGTGCTGTCCGTATATAAGTCGGAAAACGGGGGCGGTTCCAAAGTTGGAAAACACTGGGTGTGGCCATCCCCGATGGCAGATGGCACCAGCTGCTACCTGCTGCTGTTGCTACTGATTCTGCTACCGCTTCGAAAAATTTATGTAAAAGTGAAAATTTTTTAATAAACATTTTCATTTTCAGGCGGAAGTTCCATTCCGATTGCCGGGGCTAATCAGACGTGGCGCACTTCGGGATCTGGAAATGGGAAATATTTGCCATGGGCTACACGCCTGATTGATTCCTTTACCATGTGGCCATTACCAATGGCCATTGGTTCGGTGGCTCTGGGTTTTGGTTCGGTTAACTCTGTTTGCTCTCGCAAATTAATTTCCATTCTTGGCTAAATGGTTGAGTGCGCGTGTTTTAATTAAAATTATGTGGGTTTGGGTTGCAAATCGATGGGGCAGGTGGATTGATTGGAAGAGCGTGTACCTAGACAATCTTTAAGTATGTATCAGTTTTCTGAGTTTTAAGCTGAAATATTTTTTACTAATTCAAACTTTTTTGACGTTAACGTTTAGAGATGAACATTTTTTTTTTAAATATTTAGTATAATATTATGCATTTATTTTGCTTTTAAATTGGTAATTATTTGGCTTAAATACTTTTCGACATACTTTTTACGTATAAATTAAATTGTGTACCTTATTAAGGTTTGTATAAATTTAATTAGAAGACACTACAAACTTAAAATTACTGAAAGAATAGGAAAGTTCCCTGGTTTTATTTGCAAAATTATATGGCTTAATAAAAATCCACACAGTGACCTATTTTACTGCATTTGTTGAACGATCTTATTAAACTTACAAAAACGTAGTAATCTGCAAAATCTTCAATATTTATATTTTTTTCAATTTATTTTGCAAACGGTTTTATATTATATTTATATCTCCTTCAACTGCCTGTCTTACATTTTTGCATCATTTACTATATCATCATGTTATACTAAACCACTTGCAACTCTTAAAGGCCATTTTCACACCGAGAAGTAAATCCGCAATAATATTTATTCTCACTCACCTTATCACATTACGAACCTTTTTCCCAGCAATTTCCAGGCCACGGAAACTATTTTCGCGGCTCATTTAACGGGTTCGTTCTATCCCCGAAGAGAAATCATAAAAAGCACATCAAAATACATATTTTTATTGCTTGGGGGCAGCTCGGCAAGTATAACACTTCGGCAGGAGTTTCAGACACAGTTAAACCAATTTGCAACTCATTCCAGAAACCGTCCATCCTTGGCATTAAGTATATCAAATTTGCCACGATTACGGAGACGCCTCACCGCATTCACGCCCACAGGCATTCAAGACCAAAAAAAAAGAAGAGATAAAAAATAAGAATACATTCGAAACTCATTTCCTGCCCAAGAAAAATGATGAAAAAATTCAAAAAGCTGGAGCCGCCTGCAGCTTTGGGTCAGGAAGATGGCAAGATGGAAAGATGGAAAGACAAAATGCTGACAAACTGTTGAGTGAATGTTGTGCTGTTGCCCCAAACTCCTTTCGCAGCCAAACTGTTATCATAAATAAAGTCAAGCCAAATGTCAGCGACAGGCCTCATATCATAAAGCAAATGCAAGTGGCGCAGTGAATCGAAATCGAGGCATCGGCATTCGGTTTGGCTGAAACCATTCACGATTTATTGTCCGATATGCGATGCACTTTTCCCTCCTCCATCTCTCAACCGCCCATCTACCATCTACCCATCTACCCAACTGCCCAACTCCTTTTTGCTGTCTCTCTGTTAAACTGAATTGTTTCCGGGAACTGGACAAGCAGCAACAATGGCAACAGCAAAGCGCTGAAAAGCTTGTAAAACATTTGTAGCAACTGCGACTCGAGAGTTCGGATCCCGGAGTCGGAGTGCCGAGTTGGCCAAATGGACGTGCCACTGGCAGCTACTGTTGACCACGTTCACCGCCGAAAATGTTTTATTCATAAAGCTTAGCGACAAGATCGTCGCCCGTTCGATGTTGCTGCTGTGCCGTTGATGTTGCTGCTGTGCTGTGGATGTTGCTGGTGTGGAGCCGGGTCCGAAACCTATGCTAATTTCACATGCAACTTATCAGCCGACGCGCATCTTGTCAAGAAGCTTTTGTGTGCGGCTGTTAGAAATGGCCTCGAAACCATTTCCATCTCCATCTCCATAACCATATCCATCTCCGACTTCGAAAACCCGACGAGGGGTGCTAATCGCCAAATTTACAACTTCATGCAAAACTTTGCCCCGCAAATGGGCCAGAAAACAAAACGACCGCACTGCCGAAAAAGTGGGTGGGGCAGGTAGTGGGCTGGGTGGGTTGTTTTTCGGGTTCGCCTCTGGCCGAACTATAAAAATAAATCGAGGAAGGGGTGAGAGATGCCAAGCCGGAAAGTGTCCACACTTTCACTCGCCCCGAAAAGCAGGCAACGCAAAATGTAGCATTTGAAAAATGTACTTTTTTTCACACCCCACGAGGGACGGAGGATGTAAGATGCGGGGATACGGGAGATGGGGAAGGTGGGCAGCAGAACTGGTGGCACAGTGAAACCAAACCATAAGGATTATTAAATATTTTAAAACTAAAACTTTTAAAATGTTAATATCACTTTATTTGGTATTTAATCCAAAAATATACTACTCCAAAATAAAAATATAATATCATAACCTCATATAATCTCTTTCGTAGCAGATTTATAGTTTTAATTAAATTACTTTCAATTTTTAAAGTTTTGTATCTGTAAAATTAATTTTAACTACCCTAACTAAAATTAAGGGATTCTAACAATTGAGACAATAAAACAATTAAAAGATTATATGACTCATTTAACCATTTTAGGTTACATTTTAACAAGTAATGGCATTTATTAATATAAATGTCTATAAATTAAACGATAATTAAGTACGAATAAAAAAATAAACATATAATACTTATTTTGATATATTTTGTTACCACTATATAAATTGTTTTAGTCCCACTGTGTAGCGCTAAGCACAGCGTTTTTTCAGGGGGTACGTTTGTTCCAAAGTCCAGGCCGCATAGTGTTAGTTACAAGACACATAACACTTTGTTATGTGCGCTTGACAAAGTTGGGCAGCGAGACAAACAGCGGTAAAAGTGCTTAGTGCCTTAGTTTAAAGCGAATCGCATCCTTTTTTCTCTCCGGGAAAACAGATAAAACGCACACAAGTTACGTGGGGTGGAAAGTAGCGAATTGGGTGCTAATATGGTCAAAGCATTGCATGGAACACAACTTTCTAGTGCTCAACGAAAGGGGGTTGGAGAAATTTCGTGATTTTTTCGTTGTATTTTATTTTTAAATTTTGAAGATTTGCACATGCTGATAACGCGCCAGAGAATGGAACAAATAAATCTCAGACAAAAGGAAACGGATAACGGATATTTGCGGAATTTGCAGACACGTGTGTGTAGAGCGGAAGGCATTTGGAAACCGTTTAGCGGGGTGACTTTTCCCGCATATGCCACAGGATATCCCAGAAACCATACATATGGAGGGGGGAAATTGTGGGGTAGGGGATACGAACTACGGGTTTTTGGAATCAAGCTGCGAAAGTGCCAAAATGCCAGGCGCGACAAGCTCCAACACCTGAAAACTGAAGACCCAAAAGCACGCATCGAACAATCATCGCCACATCCCAGGACCAATACCCATACCCATCTCCATGATCATGATCCATGATCCACTCGTTGCAGACGCACAAAAACCATCATCATCGGCTCTGGCAAAATGTCAACTTTATTAAAAGAAATTATAAATTGGTATGCCAGTCCCGAGTCTAAAGTTTCGAGTCGCAGTCCCAGTCACCGAGTCCCAGTCACCACTTCACAGACACCGCGCGCAAAATTCCAGGCTCACACATCATTAAACGAGCAAAAAACGGAGAGATCCATCCAGTCAGTTCTCCTGTTTCCGAGTTTCGGGCCCAAGTGCCGCAGCCTTTGTCCAGCCCATTACAATTACTGACAAAAAGCATCAAGGTAACAATAAAAACAAACTTCCAGGAGGAGGGCAGGATCAAGAGTTTTAATAGATTTTGTAAATCTTCAATTAAGATGTTCTGAAATTATGCTAAATTAAGTTTTACGTGGATGTCTAGCAGAGTGATCGAGTATATCACGAAATAAATATGTTCTCAACTCATCAATTACTTCACTTTGCCTACGTCTCTATAGTTTATTTATATTAAGAACTATTTATGGCTTGAAAAAATATATACACATAATATTTCGAATATATATAGGTTGTAAATCTCCTTAAATACTGATTAAGTTTTAAAATCTACAATCTCTTGATATATTTTCCATTATTAGTAACCATTTGCAGACCAAAAATGAGAAATGTAGAAAACTGCATGCTCAATTTAATTCATTA